AAAATGAACAACCACCAAGGTTTTCAGGGTGAATGGCTCTGCTAATTGTTCATAAAAAGACCCCTATGTGATTTATACAGGTGGAGGAGGCATTGTCATGTCAGTATATGAGACCCTTGAATTGTACTGCAATATCTGCTGCCAGGCCAATCAAAATGATAGAGCTGCCTTAACACAGTGCGTCTTAATGCACAATAACTCATTGCGTTGTGGCTTGTGTGAATTCACCAGAAAACAAATTTTCCCCTTAACATTTGGATTTCTTATCTCTCCATACCAAACAAGAAGACTGGCCGGCCGGCCGGTGGGCTGCTGTGTACAAAAGTAACATATAATGACGCATGAACCATTAGAGTAAGTGGCAGCTGGTTAGGCTACATGCACTAATGAAACTGACCCTCCATCGCTGAATCTAATTCCTCTGCCACTAACCCAATTATAGGACATTCATCCTGCGTACTTAAGTGAGGCATTAGTAACCCAACTGTCACTTTTCATTTACCTAATCATTTTTAAGTATTCCCAGTTTTCTATGTGTTTCATTTCATTTCCAATCAGTCTCCTTGTAAGGACTCATTTCTCCATGGCTGGCATGCACTACCACAGGGAATGCCAAGAAACGCCTGAACAAGTGTCGTAAGGTGACACAATTAATTTCATGTGTCACTTGAGGGCAGGCCACCGGGGCTCTGTATCAGGTGCATAATGACTGCCGTTCTGATACTGGATGTAACAACTAAACGTGTTATTCATCTGGATACAAAATGTATTCTATATAATATATAATAATATTAAATATATACTATATCTAATATATGTACAGAGATCCTACGTAGTTGCTTAACAAATGAACAAAATTGCACTGAGCCCAATTAAAGGGAATGTAAAATTAATACCTAATTTGTATACACCGGAAAATACTGTATAATGTTCTATGTCCTCCTTTGACCCAGCAGGTGGAGCTATAGGCCTCTTTTCATGTGTTTTAATATATCTCTTTGCACCTCTGTTGTAAGAAGTCTGTTGCTTACAGGACTCAACTGCTCAAGGTGAAATTTAAACAACCCAGGAATTTTTTCTATTAACCCTTGCAGTTGGGGCTACCCCTGCACTGCAAGGGTTAAATGCCTGTTTGTGTCTAGTGATAAATAAATAACAAAGTTATACTCACCAGAAGCTCTGAGCTAGTCAGCTGTTACAGAACTCCCTCCTGCCTGTCTCTTCCTCCTCCGAGGTAGTGGCGTCACAAGGGGAGTGCGGGGGGTGTGCCCCGCACCCGGGTGTCATTATTGCAGGGGTGACACCAAAATGACTGACAGTGACGTCACGCACCCGGCCTCAGGACGCCCCTATTCCGAGGCATTGGAATCTTGCTCATTGCCCTCACGTCTACACACTGCGCATAAAATGTGATGGTTTACTGGGCCTTAGACTGCTGCAGAGGAGGCTGAGAGGCACTGGAAGGACTAGCCTAGAAAGAAGCCGGCTCGGAGCTTGAGCTTC